TGAGGACCAAACAGCACACCCAGAAGATTTCACACTAACTCCCATCCCCATGAAGTGCTTTGAAAGGCTTGTCAAGCAACACATAAAATCCATCCTCGCCACTAACCTAGACCTGTTCCAGTTTGCATACCAAGCCAACTGGTCCACTGAGGATGCAATCTGTTCTGCTCTCCACCCGGCCCTCACCGAACCTAGACAGCAAAGACTCGTATGAGAGAAATCTGTTCATAGACTTCAGCTCAGCATTCAATACCATCATACCACAACAGCTGATTTAAAAACTGGTCTGACTGGGCCTCAACACCTCACTATATAATTGGTTGCTGGCCACAAGCAGTATGGGTCGAGTACTATCTCACTAAGCACGCCCCCCCCCCGAGAATGTGTGCTCACTCAGTCCCCTGCTCTTCGCCTTGCTGACCCATAACTTCAAACCAACCTTCAGCACCAATCACATTGTAAAGTTTGCAGAGGATACAACTGTAGTGGGTCTTATCTCCAACAACGATGAGACAAACTACAGGAAGGAGTTCAGCCGTCTGACCACATGGTGCAGAAATAACAATGTCCTAGTAAATATAGGAAAGACCAAGGAGTTTGTTATCGACTTCCTGAGAGGCCACACTCAGAATCCCACACTCAACATCAATGGTTCTGCTGTGGAGAGAGTGAGCATCCCAACATTTCTAGGGGTGTACATCAGCGAGGACATCTACTGGACAAGAAACACTGCATCACTGGTCAAGAAAGGACAGCATCGTCTCTACTTTCTCCCCAAACTGAAGAAGGCAACAGCATCCCCACCCATCATGTGCTCCTTCTACAGAGGCATCATTGAGATTGTCCTGACCAGCTGCATCACTATGTGGTAGAGCAGGAACCGCACGACCCTGCAACGCATAATGAATACGGCAGGAAAGATCATCGACCTCTCTATCTGCTCCCTTCTGGACATCGATAACACCCGCCTCACCCGCAAAGCATCCAGCATCGTGTGCGACCTGCAGCCACATGTCACACTGACTCTTCAGCCTCCTGCCATCTGGGAGACGGTACCGGAGCCTCCTAGCTCGCTCCACCAGACTCATGAACAGCTTCATCCACCAGGCTGTCTGGAAGCTGTTCTCTCTCCCATCTCCTCCACCTCTCCCCTCTTCATCCCACAACTCTGGACTTTAATGCTCCACTACTCAATGATGAGCAGCACTCTCTCTGCCCCCCCCCCCTTAAACATGTCAAACCAATACTACAAAACAGTCATCTAGCAGCCAATGGGATGACTCCATTTTGGCTGTGTCCTCTTATACAATCTGTGATCACAAGCAGACTCCTACACAGTCATGTGTGAGGCCTCTTTATTTTAGTCAGTTCTTAGTCAGGACAAATACATTAAAACAAATGTTTTTATAGTGGCTTGATTAATATCAGAACTTCATTGATCCATCAGCCTAAGATGTTCCAGCCCTTTTTCTCATTTGACTTGTTTCCATACTTCCCTCTAATAGCAGAATAAAGAGTATAGCCTATCGTCCAATAGATCGGTCTAAATAAGAAGACAAATACATAAACATGTTTTATGGGAATTGTGATTGCATGTTTTGATTCTTTTTGGCAGCAGTCCCCCAAAGTTCTCATATGAACATGGGACATCAATTCTGTGTGTCTGCTTTGAAAGGAAACGCCTGATATCATAAAGCTGCAGTAAGCTTGTTTTGAACAGCTCTGATAAACAGCGTTGTTTTGTGCTGACACATTTTGTCTTTTCATGGGACTCTGGCTGTCAGCATCTTGAGAGATGAGAGGATTGACAGAACTCTGTGACTCATGGCAGTGTGCAGACGCAGAGAGGGGAGACGATGTTTCTAACGAGACTTGTGCAGAGGTCCAGGAAGGGCAGTGTCTTCTTGAGCCTTAACACATTCACATTAAAGTCTATACTCTCTGTGAGTAATGGCCTACAATCAATCCTTAATTCAAATCAAATGCAGCTCTTTGATAGTTTCCAGAGCTGTAAGTTGGCATTCATCTTTTATATTTTTGGCAGAGAGTGAAGGCAGTAGTCCAGGCCTTGATGACTGTCAGAGTATGATAACAACTGTAAATTTAACAAATGTTTGTGCTGCATGAGGTGTAGCCTAAGGTTTATGATACTCATCCATTTATGCACTCAACTTCTTTTTACTGAAAAAGAAAACTGGATAAGGCTTCCCCTACTACTGTCCTATAGATATAGATAGATCCTTTTTTAAAAGAAATACATTCCTGATTTAATGCCAAAACTAAGGAAAAGAAATGCCTGTTTTTCGTAGAACCAGAGAAATCATCAGTTAGTTTATAAAAATAATGTGCAATTAAGAGGTGGTGGTAAACATTTGATTTAATTATCTGCAAACTATTTTTGTCTGTTAATACGATATGATACATCTTATTGTCCTCTGGGGAAATTGAAAGGTGATGCAAACATTCACCTGATGTGAGTTTTTTTTAAGGCTCATTAAAATGGCTTTCATCTAAGTTGGTAACCTAACTCTTTGGCCACACAGAGGAGGTTAATAACAGAAAGAGAGAGTGAATAGACAGCACTGTTGTTCTATTATGGATGTAACAGAAGACTACATTCAGGCAATTTTATCCTCACAATTTGTGTTTGGGTGACTGACAAGCAATAAAGCTCGGCACGAGTTTGGAGGCTGCGTTGTTGAAGTGCTCAACCCTCTGATAGACTTTTGTCACGGTCTGGAGACATGGCTGCCAATTTGTTCCACCTCGCAGGACCAACTATTAGATCTCCTGGGATGAACCGAGTGCATTGTTTATTCAGAGCATTGCACTGTAAAGAAAATGACCATCTGCAAACGTTGTTTCAGTTCATTGAGAGGTCAAATACCAGATTTTTGCTGAGTGCAACTTAAAATCTGAAACCAACAAACAACTGTATGCACTTTGAAATTGAATCATCTTTAATCCTTTTAAAAAAAAATCAACTTATCTCATTTATTTTTGCACATTCTGTAGTTATGATATACAACATGTATTAATTCTGAAGAGTACTTTTTACCCTCAGTGTGATGAGTGTCTATTGGCAGGTTCAATTCATATTTTCATCCAGTGTCAAACAACAAGGGCTCCTCTTTCCGGATGTTGTCTGGAAAGGCCTCTGTTGGGTCATCCGGAACAGTAGTTCATTAACGATGCTTTAATTGGAGCCTTGTTTTCCTGTGAGGCGTTTGGAAACATTGGGGTTAAAGGCAAATTCCTGAGCAGCATCAACATCCACGCACCAGTGCGGCCGGTCGGAGGGGCCAATCATAGAAGCAGCTCCCCTGCAGATACACACAAAGACATGTACACTTCTACATACTGTGCAGAGGTGCATGAAGGGAGTGTTCTCACTGTAGCTACACACTTTCACAGACACACTTATAGATGTCATAGTATTTACAGATCACAGTATGTTTGGCTACATAATGAAGGCATTGTGAAGCCAGTGTGTTTCAAGACAATGGCTGTAATGAGCTGCATGATGTATGTGGCATAGCGTGCTGTAAACCACTGAAGAGTAAAGCTCTTTTTTCTGCCATATTAAAGCTCCTGTGAGGAGTTTTAACTAGTTATAAAACAGACTGGAATGAATACTGATGCCCCCTCAAAGCTACCAAAGCAAAGGGTTCGATCCGCCGCTGGGCAACATGTCCGATGTGTCCTTGGGCAAGACACTAAACCCTGAATTGCTTCTGCTCCCAAGACGGCGGTGTATGAATGGGATTAGTTACTTCTGATGGATGATACTACATAGTGATCACTACCATCAGTGTGTGAATGTGTAGGTGTGACATGATGTGTAAAAACGCTTTGAGTAGTCGGGAGACTAGGAAAGCGCTATATAAACTCAAGTCCATTTACCATATTTATTTACAGTTTTTTTTAAATATCTGAAATCCTGCCACCGAGTAGGTGTTAGACAAAGTGATTAAATGATTAATTGCATGCATCCTTTTTAACATTTTCCATGGCAAAGTTTCTAACTTGATGATACATTTCACTGTTAAAGAAGGCACAAGGAGATTTAAAAAAAACCCAAAAACGACTTACACATTTACAGGACTTCTGCACATTTACACACAACACAGGCACAACATTTATAGCACATTTAAAAACAACTGGAGTTGAACCAAAGTGCTTTACAGCAGGTGTTGTACAAGACACAATAATAAAACAACATTGTATTACCTCCCTCCCCCCCAAAAAAGAATGAATTGTCAATGAAAAGTGCCAGACTGCCCCTGCACGTTAACTGAAGTGAACTGATGTCACCTTCAGGGATTGATGGGTCCTGCAAATGGTAAGAAGTCACTTTTACCCCTTTTGTGTCCACCATGGGAGTTTCCAGGTGCAGTTTTGGAGCGTTGGCTTCACAGCAGTCGCTAAATTAGATCATTTACGAGCCTGTGGCTCTACTGTGGACATGTCAGTGTGAGAGAGAGCTGAGTGTCAGAGGCACTGAGGCTGAGCAATTGAAAAAATAACTTCCTCTCCACACACTTCTGAGCGCGCCACTCAAACAGTGGGAAATGAGAAAGGAGGAGACACACACACACACACACACACACACACACACACACACACACACACACACACCTGCATATTTATGACACACGCAGACAAAGATAGTGTGGTTTTCGCGGCAGGGGGCGCAGCAGAGGTTGTTTTCTGATCCACTGTGTCAGTTTCCACTTTTTGTCATTCCGTGTCTTCGTGCGTAAAGGCAGAACCGCGGGGACCATGATGACCCAGGTCTGGAGTTTCTACCGCGCCAGGACTTGATTCATAACCCTGGATACGGATATACTTTTGTTTCATGGCTAAGTCTCTGGAGGGAAAGCCTACATTTCTACCTGGATTAATGTCTCGACCATGAGGATACAGGTCTGCGCTTGGAAATGGATCTGTAAACGCTACAGTGTTGGATACTCTGTGAAACTACAGCGGGGTTGCTAAAACTTTACCATACCCGCATCAGTTACCTGCACGTACGTCTGATAATGGTTGTTAATGTGCTGTTAAAGTAACAATAGGTAAACGTTGAAGTAACTCAACATTTCTGTAGTATCCAGGACTTTGTGACCACCCTGTCTGCTTCAATGAACTGTATATCGACAAGGTGCAAAGCCGGGCTGAGTTATAAGGTCTGAGGGTGAGAGGTGAAAGTCTCTCCCTCACTGTGGACCTCAGACCTGCTGTCTAATGGGGGTAGCAGTTTTCAGCAGGGGGGCTCCCTCATTAGGAGCCACAGGTCAGAGAGGTCAACTCACATGGTCAAGTGGGGAGAAGTGGTTTTCTTTATCCCTGAGTCAGTCTGTTGAGGCACTGTCAGGCAGGGTGTTCACATTTGTGGTATAGCTATGGCGCAAAGGCACATCTGTCAGCATTGTAATCAGTAATTGTAGTTCTGGGAAAGTGTTGTTTTTATTCTTCAGGTAGATTGTGGTTAGGCATTAGGGTTGCATTGGGGCTTGACCCTCCAGTGCCTGAATCCATACAGACAGCCTTTGTGTTTCAAATGTCAGCCCCACTCAGATGTACACTAATGTAAACTTCACTTGTTCCATTCAGGTCTCAACCTTAAGGAATCCAGGAGCTATGCAGGGAGCCTGTGTCTGGATGCTCAGGTATGTGTACCTGTCCAATGTGTTAATATGACTGAATGGTTTTAATTGTAATACTTTAAGTTTGCTGTGTCTAGACAGCTTTGTTGTTTCAGATCAGAACATGTGAGTCAGACTGTCTTTCCTTTATTTCTTCTTCCTCGGGCTGTGTACACCCTTCAGCCCTGCCTTCTTTTACTTTGCCTCCGTCACCTGACATGAAATAATCGTGTTTCTTCCACATATGTCAAAGTGATTGTTTTGAACATTAATATCAAATTTCTCAAAACCCTGTGTAATGATTTGTATTTAAATTAGAGATGCACCGATGTATCTGTTGAACATTGGTATGGGCTGATATCACTGATCTCAGTAGCTGTTTTTTTTCTGTTGTGTTGCATCAAATATTGCTGGCAAGCTTGTAGAGCGAACTGCTGGGTCTGGGAGGAGGCTTTTATTGGACACAAGAAGTCACCTGTTGGGACAAACTCTGCTTTCATGGTCAAGTGTCACAGAATCAGAACCATCTCTGGGAAAGATCAGAGACGTCCAGTTTGTAAGACGGGTTCCCGTGAAATTTTTAAGAGGAGGGACTACTAGAACAATTTAAATACATCAATCTGTAAGCTGTTTGGAAACAGACGCCCAAGAAATATGCAATGAATTAAGTGAAAAAAAAAAACAACAACCTTGGTATAGGATGCAGCAGTCGGCTCAACTGTTAATAAAAACATCTGTATTTTCACAATCATTGCCCTCTTAACTAAAATGCAGATGCATGTATTTTGTCCATCCTTTAAAGTAAATGTAATTTTCTTTTTCTCCATGTTTTTCTGAATTTAGCATTATTATTATTTTTTTAATTCCATTGCCCATTCCCTTTATAGTTTTGGTCTGAGCCGATAAGGTATCACCAGAAACGACTTCTTTTTCTCTGTGTAGAGTTTCTCTTCTTCTGCTGTTACTCTGGCCGGACCCCCTGCACAGCCAGCACACCGCAGACCACAAGTTAGAGGTGAGTGCCAGTTGTGTAGCAGGTGGTGCTACTGGAAAAAGAATGTGTCCAAACATGAGTGATCTGTTTGAAACTAACATACACAGGACGGTAAGCCTCCCTTGAAAGGGATTTTATTTGTTTTATATAGCAGTTTAATTACATGTTTGGCACATGCTATTGGAGTGCTCTTCAAGTGGAGAGTAGCCTGCATGATCAAACGCCACTCTTAAGTTTTAGGCTTTTATTCTTGCCTCCTATGTCCCAGTGGGGGTAAATAGAGAGAGCTTCCTCAGGGGGAAACCTGACCTGAGTGCTAATCTGTTAACTTGAGAGCATGAGTGAATTGTCGTGAAACAGGGAGGGCTTATGTCAGCTGTCAGCCAATCACCCTTTGACCTGTGGAGCCACAAGACCTACATGGAAGAAAGAAACCTGTGGATGTACCTGATGAGACGACTGACACTCGCTTGTCAGGTTAGAGGAGGTTGATCCCGAGTCAGCTCCATGTGTTTCCACCAGGGGTTTAGCTCTGTGACCTACAGCTGACCCGGGAGATGACTGTAGTGTTGAGTTACAAAGGCTGAGGCAGGGGAGAAAATGGGGGCCAAGGGGGGGAGGGGGTTGAGATCTCTCTGAATAGCTGCATGGGCTGATTGACAAGAGAGGAACTTCCTGCCAACTCTCCCCGCTGCTTCTGTATTCTCTTTCCGTCCCCTAAAAGTCAAAGGCAGCTGAGCTTTTACTACAGCCATGTGTTTGCCCAGAGAGGTCGCCTGAATGGAGACAAAGTGCTCCTTAAAGGGCAGGGTTTCCACGGGGGCTCCGCAGATAAAGCCGACTTGGCACGGGGCTTCTCCTGGCGGGTTCCTCAAAAAGAAGAGTGCAGCGATCGTTGCTAATACGGCATAGCCAAAGTTGCACAGAGAGAAAGAGTCAACAAGGAGAAAAATGCAGGTAGCCAATAGAGGACAGGCCACTAACAGACACCCACTAATCAGGCAAATCAGCTCTTTATAGCCTCAAACAGAGTTCTGCTTCATGGACAGAGGTGGGAGGCAGAGGGGATCGCGACAGTGATGAGGTCACTGGATTGAATCTTTAGAAAAATAAATAATCTGGGAAGATTCAGTTTTCCTTGAGGTAGGGTTTCCATCAGTTCTTGGCATAACATTTACAATGCACTGTCCTGCATCTTTTCTGTTAGCAGTGTTGCTTATCATGTTTTTTTTTTTTTATCACCATACAGGCACCTCAAAGCGCAGCGACCCAACAGGAGTTCAGGGCAGAGCATGGAGAGATCCAGGGCTCCTGGGGAACCTGGGGGTCCTGGTCGACATGCTCTCGGACCTGTGGAAGAGGAGTTCAGGAGCAGAAGAGACCCTGCCTGCCTGTTTACACTCCATCCAGAAGAGCCGGTGTTCCCCTGCAGCAGCCCGGTCGTATCATTTCAGCCCTGCGGCCAACAGTCCCTCTACAGCACCACCACCACACAGGCAGGGCATCTAACATCAGCAGGCACGGAGAGGTGAGGGAGCGGACACAGACCCGGCCTGGTGGACACAGGTACTGTATTTTCTTGGGGAGGGGGGATTAGATTAAGTTTAGTTAAATTGAGGTGTTGATACTTCTGTTAGAAAATGTTCAGGGCTGTTTGAGCCACATTCTTTAAAAAGGAGTGAAGGAAGAATTGTTAAAGGCAGTACTGTGACATATACCTTCACATCAAATACAGAAAGGCAGAAACTTCCAGACAGGTCACAGAGGATCAATACAATATGGAATGAGTACCAAACCAGGTGGCACCCTTTGGTGTTGAAAAATGAAACCACTTTATAATTAGCCCAAAAAAACTGTAGTTCCTCGAGAGCCCACTTGAGGCTGGCTGCAAAAAAACCTGATTAGGTGTCAATGGCTTATATATTTATTGGTAAACACTGTATGTGGGTCGTTTCTTTGGAACTCACCCGTCTTGATTATTTTAAAGCTAATAGTTATGCATAATTAGTGCTGTAACATGACAGGTGGGTGCTTTGTAGGTTTTCCAGGAGGCCTCCCCCAGCACCATCAACATCAAATGAGGGAAAATGTTTTGGTAGTAATTTGAGTGCCATGGTTGTCAATGGTTGAACTTTTTTCCATTTTCTTTGGCGAGATCCACAAGTTCCAAAGACCCCTCTGCTGCGTGCTGAGAAGCCCGGTCTAAAAGTGACCACCCTTCACTGGAAAGCTCGTCTTTTATGGATGGAGTCAAAAGCTTGGCTTGTGTTTGGCAGCCTTGTAACCTCCTTCCTGTCATGCCTAGCTTTGAACAAATAGCACAGACAGTGGAGTAATGGTGGAGGGGGGGGGGGGGGAGGATGGCGCTGTTTGAGTTGGAATCTACGGAGCCAAATAACAACAAAGGCTCCCAGAATTCTGCTGAGGGGATCTGGACGCTTCTCAAAAGTCTGAGCTGGATGAAGGGCCATGAAAAAAGAATTTAGCTCAATTATAGTTGATAGAGAAAGATGCCGATCCAAATATTCTGGATGACCTGTTTTGTACACTGTGGTTGCTTTTTAGAAGGTGGGTTGAACAAATTCTGAGCTAGTCTTTCTTTCAGGATGTGCAGTTGTAGACAGGGAGGTGACAGATGGTACTCAGTCATTTGTCGATTGTTCTTCTCTTAATATGTGTGTCTCCAGGAGGGTTTCTGACATTGTCCCAGGGAGGTACGGCTATGGGAGAGCTCCTTATGTTTCTCCAGTGGCGACAGATACAGGCCAGAGCTCCGGTTCACTTCATCCTCGCAGACAGAGACGCTCTGCTGCACCTGATGGCAACCACTACACCTCTAGAGGCCACGGTGGGCAAAGGTCAAACAACCTGGACCCCTCCAACAACCTCCGTCCCTACAGCAGACCTCACTCGCAGCCAAGGCCGGAGCAGCAAAATAGTAACCAAGTCTGGGCCCCTCTCTACCAGCCCGGTTCGGCCAACCAGGCTGAGACTCAGCAGGAGTCAGACGGCCAAACGTCTGGACCCCAGCAGCACCAGGAGAGACCCTACGATCCCCTGCCTGCTTCCTTCTGCACAGGGGAGCACACACACTACAGGATCTGCGACAATAATGTATGCAAATCTCAGTCTTCTTAATATAATATCATGTTAACAATGTTTTAACATAATTAATTCAGCAGCTTAATTAACAGCTCAAATTGGCGTCATTATTTTATTCTATGCAATGCACTCTCTACATTGCTCAAATGCATTTGCATCCTTCCACTACCAAAGTCTTGTGCAGGAGTTTGCTTGCAAATTTAGTAATTAAGAATAAGACTTTTTCAATTTTGGATGCAGAGGACTTTTATATTTGTTGCTGAGGTATCCAAACATCAATATTGTTTGATTTGTATTAATATCGTATTAAACTTTAGAACTCCGGAATGATAACCATACAGAGGTGTCAAAAGTATTCACATTCATTACTCAGGTAGAAGTATAGATACTAGGGTTTAAAAAGACTTCTGTAGAAGTATCAACTCAAGCTTTTTACTAAAGTTAAAGTGTAAAAGTACTGGTTTCAAAACTACTTAAAGTATAAAAGTAAAAGTAATGTAAGGGGAAAAAATGCCATTAAGGACAAAAACTTAGGCCGCGCCACAGCGTGTCGGAATGGTACCCTATGTTTATACTTCTCATACTTCTCATCCAACCACAATCAAATTCACTCTATCCGGATGGTGCGTTTTATCTGGATAGGATTTTTTTTTTCTTTTTTGTGTTTTTTGTGTTTTTTGTGTTTTTTTGAATGATGACAAGCGGAATGAAAACAAGCCAAAATGAAATAGGAGTAACGAGGCTATTTTTTAAAATGTAAGGAGTAGAAAGTACAAATAATTGCGTGAAAATGTAAGAAGTAGAAGTAAAAAGTCGGCTGAAAACTAATTACTCCAGTAAAGTATAGATACCCAAAATGTTCTACTTAAGTAAGATAATGAAGTATTTGTACTTAGTTACTTGACACCTCTGTAACCATAATGCATTCATTTTGAGTTTTATGTTATTATATACTAGGATCATTTATTGCTCTGTTGCATGGAGCCCTATTGTTTCTCTAAGAAACACATCGACGAGCCACAACGTTTCACAAATGTGACATGTTTCTTTAATATCAAACTCAACTGGATTCAAATAGTAACATGTTCTGCTTCATTTTTGGAGTGAACCATTTACTACACTTCCAGGCTTTTTAATACTAATACTAAATATTTTCCACTAACCCAAGTAGAAAAACACACACAAAAAACTGTATTGTCTTAGGAACGCCTTGGATTTGAATCTGAACTGAACAAAAGTGGACGGGTTTACTCATCTGAGCAAAGGTTTTGTATTCCGTCCTTTGCATTGAACTAAATTTAAACAGTGTCACTTTTTGTATATAGTCCCGAGTGTGTGCTGAGCAAAGTAAAGCAGACCAGGGTATTGTTTAGACACAGGAGATATGGAGATGTCAGGGAGGTTGAGTTAGTTGGGTGCCTCTATATAAATACCTGATTCTCACTGATTTTGGCAAGAAAGCCTCAAACACAAGCACATGTTTAGAACAGAGAGGGGAGGGTCGACTGTATCAGTCAATAACCTGCTATAGAGTGTGAAAATGAGGAAATGTATACTCTCTGCAGTCAAATGATGATTGACCTGTTGGACTCTGTATGTGGAACATAAATGAATGTGTGTGAATGTTAATGCGTTAATGTGTGTTGGTCCGTCTACAGGCCTGTCATCCATCCAGCAGACACATCCGAGCTGTTCAGTGTTCTTCATACAACAACCAGCCTTTCATGGGCAGACTGTACGAGTGGGAACCTTTCAACGAGGGTATGTTGTATTTATGCATCTATTTATGAACAGTCTGTTCATATATAAATGTTTAGAACATTATGTTGACTTTTGTTTGGACTAAATTACAGAACAGACAGTTGTAATTCCAGACAAAGAAGGGTGTTGTACTGGTGAAAGCTGAAGAGGGAAAAAGAAAATGAACAACCACAGAATTTATTTTGGAAATAAGAAATAAAATAAAAAAAACAACAAGGCTAATTTACAGCCATGCTTCACCTTTATGAGGCTGTAATTATAGACAGAAGGTCTTTGAACTAGCAACACATACTAATATAAGCGTGCTAACTATGAAAATAAACTTCTATCGAGACCTTCTGTCTGTCCGTCTGTCTGTTTAGTTTAGTTTTAGTTTAGTTGTACATGTTTTGACAGAAGAGTCAAACAGAAAATTAAAACAAATTAAAAATAAAACCCATGTGCAGGTGAGGTAGAAACCCATGAGGGCTTATCTCAAAACCTCACCTTGAGAGATTAAACAAAGTTAAAAGAAAATACAGTAAAAACAACAAAGTAAGAATATTTACTATCACAAATAAAATGTACCCAATTGAAAATGACATACAAACATTGAAAATATAAAAATAGAGCAGAACAGGACATACAGTATGAAGACAATATAACAGTCTGTCTCTCCTTCCATCTATCAGGAACATAAATGTCAATACAAAACGTCACGGAAACCCAAAAGATATTTCCCTCAACCACAAACATAAACCTTTTGGTAGCACTATAGTTCAGTTCAGGGATAGTATTGGATTGACATAATCTAATGGCATGCTTGTAAAAGTTTGACTAGTTGACCAACCCTCAGACAGACATTGACATCCCTACAGGACCGCCACTGACCAACCTTAAACATGAGTCTAAAGGAGGGTCAGAAGAAAATGGAAATAAATACATCTAACAACAAACTACCAAACTATACATGTCTTTAAAAATGTGTTGGAGTTTTGACACAAACTGTTTCATGTTGAGATGTCGGAGAAACTCTAAACCTTATAAGTACTTCACTCAAACTTAAGGTCTCCCATTTCAAATGTAAAGCTGTCACCTTCAGCTGCCTGACCTATATGTGCTAAGGCGTGTTGTGATGTAAGCGCTGCAGTATTTTACCTTTCTGTAGGATTACTGATGAATGTTCATTCACACAGACTCTGTGACTGCGCTCACCTGAAGTAACCAGGCAACAGTCAAAACACCTCCTGAAATGTCATTTCTCTACGAACACTAATGGAAGCAACAGCCTCCAGTTTAATATCCTGTCAAACAGATGTCGTCTCTGTGCCGCAGCCTTGACTGACGCGCTATGCAGACGCTCAGATTTAATAACCTCAGCTACATGACGGAGGTAAAATCAGGATTATACGACATGTATCTTGAACCGTGCTTAAACATACATTGGTTTAAGTAATACCTTTCTTTTAGCTTCATTGAGTATCTTATTTATAAAGAACCTGAAAAAAAAAGTTTATAGCGGTCCTTTGTAATCTCTCTCTGCTGATTTTGAACCATCACATGAAAAAAAGATGATCTTATGTCAAAGTTACACATTTTCAAGGAAACGTTTGATTTTGCCATCCAACTTTTGTGACTGAATGTGATGCTCTTTAAAATGCGATATAATAATGGGTAGACCGCAACTGATGAGGGATTTATGAGACTTTAAATTGATAAATATTGCTCATATTATTGCTGACTTGATTGGTATTTTGAAGTCAATTAAAGAAAAAAAAGACCCTCCCTACGTGTATTGAGACCTGAATTTGCAACAACATTACTAATTCTTACTCATTCTACTCAAAAGACTGCTTTATCTGTAATTTATCAAAGATGAGGAAGACTGCTCAGCTGTTATGCAACTACTCAAAACAGGGCTGAGATTTTCGAAAACAGTGACATTTTTCAAACTTTGAAACTTTCCAATACCTGATGTCTTAAAAAAAAACACAATTTGAGTTATTTTGGTGATTGATTGTATTAAAAGGTACCAAAGTAGTACCAAAAGGATAAAAAACTTAAGCTTTTGTTTTGTTTTTTTAACCAAAAGCTGCCGCACACGGATGAAAGAGAGCTCTGTCTAAAGAAATAAAAACACATTTTCAATGTATTTGAGCAATGATGAAACCATTTCTGAAACACAATATCATTGTTTGCCTGCAGTATGTCATGTGTAAAAACAAGATCTTGTCTGCTGAAGACAAAAACAATGCTGATGTATCTGTGGCAAGCATATAGACTGTGGTTGAATATGATACACATTTGTAAGTAGTAGATGTTGTCCCTTGTAAGTCCCAAGTTTCTGGTTGTTTGTCAAAACGTCTTAAATCTCCTTTCAGTTTCTGAGGCTCAGCATTGTGAACTGAACTGCCGGGCCATAGGGTTCAGATTCTACGTGCAACTGTCAGACAGGGTGATCGATGGGACGCCATGCGGGAAGAATGACACCTCTCTCTGTGTGGCAGCAAGGTGTATGGTAGGTAGGCCACTCCTTTTGTATTCTAAAAGGAAATGATCCGGTCGAATATTTAGTCTTACAGTACTTAGTCATTCTGACATTTTTGCTCTCTGCCACGACAGGCTTCCTCAAGGCTGTTCATGTGTGAAAATGTATTAGTTTGACTGAGCAACCCTTTGATCACTTCCTGTGTAGGAACCACATCCATCACTAAACATGAGCAAAAAACAAGACATTCAAATACTTAAGTAGATTCCGAAAAAAAGATGCAACATTTACAAATGATAAATAAAAGACATACAAAAAGTTAGATAAATCAACCAAATAGTGGGAATCAGTCGTGGATAAATGATATGACTGTTAAGAAAAAACAAAACAACGTACAAATAGTTTGATCAAACTTCAATTGGATAGTCAACGTTACAGTCTTTGATTCATGTTTCAACTTGATAAACCATGACTGTTCCCTTCAATAACCTCAAACAGTGGTTCTGCTGTAGTAACAAGTTTGACCAGCAGAGGGCAGCAAAACATCAGTGTGACTGCCCTTTGAATATGATCTGAGGGAGTGAAAGGGAGGTCAGGGTGACCTCCCTTTCACTCACAGGAGATCTGGGATCTCAATAGAGGAAATATTTGCACTTCTGACCCCGTATTTAATACACATGATGAAAGCACACCTGTGAGCCCTGAGCAGGAGAGAGAGAGAGAGAGAGAGAGAGACAGAGAGAGAGTTGTGTGTGGGCCTGATTATGCCTGTGTATTCAATGGCAGGATTCACTGTAAAATGATTTTGTTTCGGGTTTAACTTGAAGGAATATGTTGGAGAAAGAGCTCATTTCCAGCTGGTCATGCTGACCTCACTTTTTTTTAACCCTGTGTGTTTCCCATGGACTCTTATCCAGAGGCTGTCTTTCCAATATCAAGATTTGATCAAGATATAAAGCTAGAGTAGTGAGGATTCAAAGTCATCATCAGCCTCTCAGGGAGAAGAGAATTTTTCTCTTCCCATTGAGATTTTCTCAGCTGGTTCAATCATTTGAAGAGGAGATCCCCTCCAGCTGCACGCCAAGAGATAATGTGAAAACATCTGGATTATTAAATTTAATTCAGAACCGCTCTTCTCACTGAAGTGAAGCATTATCGTGAGAACTGTTTTTGGAAAACCTTTGAAGTTGTTGCTGCAAAGTGGGTTAAGAGCACCAGCAGATACAAACACATGGTATAATCACACATAATGTTTTAACAAGATATTTCATTGTAAGGATTATTTATTTAAAAAAAAGAACTATAACAGGGGGATGTTGGCCTGGTAAAGGGAGTTAGCAGCACGGCTATTCATCAGCGGCAGTAACAGCAGCATGGAGCAGGAAGGAGCCGCAGGGAGGAACGGGGAGTTGGCAGCTCCAACAGGTTGTTTGAAGTGTCGGTCATCGTTGGTGCCTGTTTGGATCAGCAGACAGTCAGCTGGTTTGGTGAACTCTGCTCGACCCAACATGATACCTCATAACTAGCCAAAATACACTAAGGCGTGATGGATCAAAAAAAAAAATCAACATTTTTGAGTCTAACATGAATCAATAACATGAGATTCAACATTTATTTTCATTGTCTTTAGTTGTAAAGGGACCATGTTCAATATTAAAAACAAATTGTCATTTCATGCATTGTACCAGAGTTTAGCTGAGGGATCGTTTACATCTTAAGTCCATTGGCCTACCTTCATAAGGCTTGTACTCGTCTCTAGACATCCAAACATCTCTTTGGATAGTGTCGTTCAGCAGTCGTCCAGTACCATTACAACATCTAAATGTATAAATATATTCATCTGTAGAAAATGACACCTATTGATCTTGGTGTTTCATAGAGAAATATACTGCCACCTGTTGGACAGAACGTTGTGCATTCCCCAGATTATTCAAAGTTGATAAATTCTGAAAATTAGAGGATCCATTTAAAAAAAACTATTCTGATATTTCACCAGCAGGAAAAAGTACCCAATGTAAAAAAAACATGTGGTTTACAACCACCTCCAGAAAAAAAACCAAGTTACCCACCAGCTATACTTGTATACCAATAAGTGTATGCTCCACTTATTGGTAGATTTGAACATGCTGACGTGCTATACTGAGATAATGAACAAGTGTATATCACCTTCTAAACATCACCATGCTGAAGGCTACAGACTGTTAACTAAACTATACTATAAATCTGTAATGCTTTGCTAATACTGACTTCTGTAGTAATATTTAATCAAAAGAGTCAAAAGCAATGATACTAATGTAGATCTCTCATCAAAAACTTCAACCACTCATTTATGATTGGCAGTCTGAGAATGATTTACATTTGACAGCTTTGATTACATTTTAGTCCCATTCTAAATGATATTGCATCACACTCAGTAAACTTGTAACTGGCTGAAGTGTCGGCTGTGGTTTCTGTGGCTGCTTCATGTGAAATAAGGACACTTTTTTAATGTGGCCCTGGGAGCGTCCAGCTCTCTGACCAGCTGTTGGGCTTAGTGGTTTGGAGAAAAGCAAAGTCTACGTGTTAGTCATTTTCTGTTTGAGGATCTCAAGTATCAGAATTGCATCACATCCTTGTTTGTTTTTTTTTCTTAAATGGTGTGAAAACACTCTGCTGTGAGTGAACACTTTTGCCATATTTTCTGTGAAACTCAAGCTGCATCATTTAATAAATACCAGATTGTATTTCACAACATGTTTCACACATTCCTTACATAAGAGTGTGTGTGTGTTTTTTTTTTCAGATGTTCTCTATGATAGGCCTACATGTTATGGAAACCAGACTGTTTAATCCTTGTCTGCCCTTAAGAACAAGAATGACAGACATGGATGGATATTAAACGGTCATGTAAAAGTCATGAGGTTTACTCTCTTTGTGTGGTTGGAGGAAAAAAATCCCTTCAAAAGACAAATGTTGTCTGTGCTTGAACTGTTTTTATTGGCCATTTTCCAAACTAGGAGCAACAACAAGGTCTAAAGTGCAATAAACCAAATATTGCTCCTTTAAAGTCCGAACTAACAGCTCTACCATAAAGATCATATGATATAGGATATATGTCACACTAAGCGTTCTGCAAACTGATGAAGAGTCTATAAGGCACTAAGAAGTGATCTACTACAACATACAAGCTACTGTTATGGCTCTGTTTGAAATCAGAGCCAAAACATAACATCATTTATTTCTAATTATTCATACAGAGGAGATTCCTCAGGTCGGAGCGTGCCGTAACGTTGCACAAATTCCTGGAAACCCAAAAAACACATTAATGATGCTGTCAAGGAACACTACGTTTCCTAACCGTGTATATATTTCAAAAAGACAAAAATCATTACGGTGAAATTTTGTCATTCAGATCACTTTAGCTACACATTATCACATCATACACAAATCTAGATGTAATCTCCGACTTGTTCCCAGTGATTGAAAGCATCCATACAAAACACATATTGAGCCTTTTTCGAGGATATATTTCAACTTGGCTTGAATTTAATACTCCACTTGATATAGCAATACTCTTTTATAGTTGTGTACTGTAATTATAAAACATTTTCTACTTTATACGTGACTTTAAAAACTGAAAGAGCGAGAGAGAGAGAGGGATACACGAGTTAGAGAGAATAGGACAAATTCAATGAGCTAATCTACAGTTTAGCAGCCCACACTGTCCTTTTAGACTTCTTTGACTTTGCAGAAGTGTCTGGAGATCATTTTAGTTTTGGCTTTCATACCAGTTCCATTTCATATCCCTGGAGCAGTAAAACATTTTAAGATTCTTAATCATAATAATGAAACGATTACTCAGAACATTTGGACCGTTCAGTTATTGGTTTGAGAGGGAAATGTAGCCTGATTATGCTGTAGTTTTAGCTTACAGTTCAAACCAAACCGCAGAGTTGGTGTGCTTTGTGTGGTCCCCTGCCACCTCTCACACTGCATGAATAACAACCCACCTCTGCCCACTTCACCTTTGTCCCCAAGTGTCACTGCAGGAGTCCCTCTCATGTTTCTGTATCTGACGCAGTGACACCCTCAAATTGGCCCGCTAAAGAGACCCACGTCTCTATCAGGTTTTACAACCAAAATTAATGAGGCAAATCAAGTTCTTTCAAGGTTGTTCCCTGCAGTTCTGGACTCAAGTAGTTCTTCAGTCTTTGTCTGAAGGAGCACTGGTGTGATTCCATCCTTTTTTCTTACTGCCTGTCTGGATTGTGGCCCAGCCTTAATTGTCTGCTGTATTGGCAGCTCAATGCTTGTCTTTCACTGTGGTATGGAGCGAGGGTTCGATGATGAATGCAACCAGTTTGAGCAGCCCATAATGAAGGTTTCAGTGTTTTTTCTATTAAAAAGGTCTGGGACCGAACAAGAACATGGTTAACGTCAAGTTTTTAGTACAGAATGGAAGCATGTCAACGTTTTCTTTTTTCTTTTTTCTTCTTTTGCTAAATTCAGCCTACATCCTGAATTAAAGAGGCTGCAGGCAAGCTAGCCGCTCAGTGTTCTGGACACTCGGCTCTCTTTGTGTCTGCAGCTGGAGCTTCTCTTTATGATTTGTCCTGCCTGTGATGGCTGCGGGGAGCAGCTTCCAAATTACTGAGCTGTTTTCACACAAGCAGGAGTGCATGTGTGGGGGGCCAATAGTCCGACAGAGAGATATTTCTTCAGAGAGTTATTTGTCACAGGTTTTAAGACTCATTGGGGATATTCTAAACGTTGGACAGTTTAATTATAGTATCCTCATTGCCTTCATACCCTTAACCCTAGAAGTGACTTTCTGATCAGTGGTCTTAGTTTCATGATCATTGGTAAACTCATAAGGGGAAAAGAGGATTTTCTGGCACAAACTTCACCAACTAACAAAGTGCCTGAAGAGTGAAAGGCTTAGAAGAGGTCAAAATGCTCCAGCAACACTTGTAGTAAGAAGATCAACTTTATTAACAATTTAGACCGACACGTTTCAGCTCGTGGCCTTGATGACCCTGATGAAGGCCACG